CTCACCACGGGCTGCAGGGGAACCTCTGACCTGGCCACCTCCCCCACCTTTTCACACTGACCTGGGTGTCTGCCGTGTTGTCTCTCCCACGTATTCTCAGTCCTCTCTTCCTACTACTGTTGTGCAGCAGTATTTACTCCCTCAATAATATGTTATCCCAGAGGTGCTACAGACAGCGCTGATGGGCTCAGCCTTGGCCAGCAGCTGGTCTGTCTTGCAGCTGGCTGGCATTGGCTCTGTCAGTCACAGAGTAGGGGAAAGCACAAAGATGTACTCTGCTTCCCCTCAGCAGGCGATGGCCAGCCACTTCCTAGGAAGTATGGACTCAGCACGGGTAGCAGCTCTTCTGGAAGACGAATGCCCCTCCCCTCCTCCTTCTCTTAGTTTTTATTACTGAGCACACCTTCGTATGGTATGGAATATTGCCTGGGTCAGCCGTCCTGGCTCTGTCCCCTTCCAGCCTCTTGCCCACCCCCAGCCTGCTGGGTGTGTGTGTGGGTGGTTGCAGACAGCCTCGACGTTGTGCGAGCACTGCTCAGCAGTAGCCAAAATACTGGTGTGTTACCAATGCCGTTCTACTAGAAATACACAGCACAGCACAGCACCCTGAGGGCTGCCATGGGGATGTAAAGTCCAGCCCAGCCTGCCTCAGTGCGAGAAGTGACTGAAAAAACAAGTATGCTGCTGTCACGCACGAGAAAAAGTTTTTGGTCAAAGCCCTGCAAACTCTTGCCTTTCACAGAAAACAGTTGAATTTCTAACTTCAGGACAAATGTTTTAAAAGTTTAATGGAAAATCTAAATTCTATCTAAATTTTAGATGGAAAAGGTGTCTAACTTCCTTATTCCTTCCTGCTTTTCTCTACTGAAAATACTTCTTAAAGTTCGTTTCTCATTCCAGGTAACATTAGTTGGAGAAGCTACTCCAACTGTAAATTGATATTCCAGAATGACAATCAGAGAAGCACATTATAACGTCTTTATTTGCACGTTTGATACTGTGATGGTGTTAATTTGTGTAAACTGGAAATTTACGAAGAATTTTAGAAAGTTTTCCATTAAGTATTCTCTACATATATGTAGATAAACAGCATAGCATACCAGTTTTTTAAGCTAATAGCTTTCTGTGCTCTGGATGTTTGTTCACTGCCTGTTTGAACTCTTAAGAAGAGAAAGAAGCAGCCCTTTTAGCGAAGAAGGCGGCATTGACTCATGACATCAGCCGGCTGAGAGAACTGTATGAAGGCATGATGTCAAAGTTTCCTCATCTGCATTTTGAATACAAGTAAGAGCTCAGTGTGATCCTTAAAGAAATTTGAAAGTGGTTTTGGGGGCATTTTATGCATGACTTAAGGGACTTAGGATAATTCCATCAACTGCTTATCTGTTGCTTTCCTTTTAGTGCCAGTGAATAATGATTATCTTACCTGTGATGCAAGAGAGGGGAGGGATGGGGGAAGTCAGGAAATGTTCACTGAATCAGTGGGCAACAGGGGAGGTGACACTGTCAATATTAAACGACAGCCTTATCAAAATCACTGAATTTAGAAGTTTCATATGATGGTGTTTGCGAGCCTTAATTTCAGTTGCTAAAACCATAGAATCCAAAGGTCTAGACTGCAAAAAGTCTGTAATCATTACTTTCCGGAGTCCTGCCTGAGGACCGTGAGTAGACCCGACCTCTGGAGGTCAACATTCTATCTGTTTCCACCAAGCAAGCATATTTATCTCCGGATTTATTTGTTTATGTCACAATCAGTCTGAACATGTTCTTGTAGCTGTGCTAGTGACAGATCCCATAGTAAAAATATTTTTTTTTTTACTGCATGAACAAATTATACCAAAATCAGGAAGCACATTCTTTTAATGACTTTGTAACTGACTCTTTCTTGGGAAGTCTTGTGCCCTGAAGTATTTGATTTAATCATATTGTGTTTGGGGTTGTTTTTTGACCTGATATAAGTTAGTATTTCCTATACCAGTGTAATGAGCAGTGTGAGTTTTTAAATTAGATCTTTTAATGGGTGTAGGAGAGAAACAAACATGTGATTATTGTAATTTTTAAGAAATCCAGAACCCAACTGGAATCCAAACCTTGTGAAAGGCCTTGTTCTGTCTCTAATCATTGTGAAGGATATATCCAAAGCAAAAGCTCTAGAAGCAGTGGCTGGCGGGAAGCTGTATAACATAGTTGTGGACACAGAGGTATGTTTATCACTTTAATACACCACTCCAAATGTTGATATGAGGTCGTGTGAGTCAGAGTTAATGAGCATGTGCACTGTTAGCGAATGCTTAAGGGGTAGTTTGAACTCGTGTACGTGTTTGAGTTGGGACAAGAGTCATGCGTACTTACTGGCAGTGATGTATTCCTCTTGCGATGCCCTGTTGTGTGCTTCACAAAATCAGCTGTGTATTCAGGTGTGCTTTGTAACTCTTCTTGTTAAGGCTACTGGCAAAAAGCTTTTGGAGAAGGGTGGACTAAAGTGTCGCTACACTGTCATTCCACTGAACAAAATTTCAGCCCAGTGTATTGGGCAAGACAAGGTCAAGTTGGGCCAGAGCTTGGTATGTAAATAAATACGCTATTTACACTATTTTGCATGTCTACCTCTTTAATTTTGTTTCTTTGGTAAAAACCTGGGCTTCTTAATGGTTATACTAACAGGAATTTTTGTAGGGTTTGAGAGTATCTTGATTTTATTTCCCTCTATTTGTGTCCTTTCAGCTAAGGGGTGTTTAAATGGATAGTAATTATTCCATTTTTAACTGAAATTGCTTTAAAATGTAATGATGTTTTTAGAAAGTCCCTTTATCAAAAGAACACAAGAAATTAAATTTGAAAATTCTTATCTGTTAAGGCATACTAATTGTGTTTCATTTGATTTCTAGGCTGGTCCTGGTAACTTGGATTTAGCCCTTTCTCTGATTGAATATGAATCTGAACTGCAGAAAGCAATGGAATATGTCTTTGGAAGAACACTAGTCTGCAATAGCATGGATAATGCTAAGAAAGTGACCTTTGACAAGAGGATAATGATAAAAACTGTTACATTTGATGGAGATGTGTTTGACCCCCAGGGCACTCTGCAAGGAGGCAATTGCTGGTTTTATTCATATAATAATACTGCATGTCTATAGATTTGTTTACTGCTCTGCATGTTTTTTATAAATATGAACAGTAACCTTTTTGTTTAGCCTCATACTGGGGATGATATGACCTGTTTGAGCAAAGATTTGTCAGTCCTGAGTTGAAATAAGATTGGTTAGACTAAGGAAAAAAGAATAGCAAACTATTTCTGTAAAGTAGTTGTATACAAGTATTTCAAATCTTTACTTAGCTATATAATCCTCTTGGAAGCAGAAATGCTTTGAATTCAAGCACTGTTTGAAGTAATTAGTAATTAATTTGAGGTTGTTGCATAAACTATGAAAAGTTAGTTGATTTCACAAGAAATGCATGTGTAGTATCCAAAGCCTGCAGAACCGTATTCTGTAGCAGAGGAGGTAGCCCTTCTCACTTAGAACTGCTGTAACTTCAGCCTAGCTGCCTTTCTGTTCTCTAACTAATACAGATTATCAACCCGCATCATTGTTAACATTTAGAATTTGTTATTTGCCAATGGTAGATCCACCAGTCCTGTGAGCTTGACTTTGCTTTTATTTTCACTGAACAGGAGCGTACTCAAAGGTGGCACCAATATTGTCTAAGCTTCAAGAAATGAAAAACATCAAAGTAGAACTCCAGATAAAGGAATCTGAACTTGAGACTGTAGAGAATGAGCTGGCAAGCTTGAAGAGTGTCGCTGAAAAGTAAAGTTTGTCTTGCAAAATGTCTATTGTTTCTCTTAAGTGATTGAGGAAGTGTGATATAAGTGTTTTTGAAGGGCATAGGGCCCGTTGAGAATGTAATATGCAGAAAGTTATCCCCTTTCTCCTTCTCCGTCTCCCCAGTTTAATTTGTAAGTACAGAAGAGAATTAGTTTTTATATAAATACATGCAAGAAAACTTTATCTTAGGTAGTGGAGGGAAAAAAATGGCATACTGTGATGTCTACTTGAAAACACTTCTCCAAAATTTCATGAATGCTGCTGAAGAATGGATCTGTTCCAGATGTTTTTTCTTTAATGCTTGAGTCTAGCATCTGTCATGCTGCTGGTTGGAAAAACATGAGCTCTAAATTGTTGTCTAATTCCATGTGTTGCATTTGTTTGCCTTTTTAAGATACGTTATCATAACCAGGAGTTACATATGTAGTAACTTACGTATCTACAAACCTCAACAATTGCTATTAAAGAAATTATATCAGTTTCATGCATTTAAGCTTACTTGTCCTACAGTCATTGTATCTCACATGAAAATGGGAATAGAAGTACTACTGTATCTACTTATTTCAACTTTGAAGTGCTGGGTACCCTTCGTTACAACAGCGTATGTCCTTACTGTCTTCAAAAGGTATCAGCAGCTGCAGCAGCAGTTGGAGATGAAGTCTGAGGAAGCAGGGCTGTTGCAAATGAAGCTTCATCAAAGTGCTTATCACAAACAAGAGGAAGAGCTGCTTGCCCTGAAGAAAACCATTGGTAACAAATGTGCTCTTAATCTTTCAACTGAAAGCAAATGGCTAAGAATGAGATGGATATTTAGCTGTCTGAGCAGCAGAATCTTCACTTAAGAAAAAAAACCAAGTCAGTTTCACCTTTAAAAATACTAGCTTTATATTTTGGAGTAGGTTACAAATACAGAATCACAATAGACCTGGCATAGAGGTGATTCACATAAGGTTGGTGATTCTCTTGTAGTAAGGGTTATATTTTTATTAAGCTTGTTACATACTTTAGAATAAAAGGAAAAATGGCTTTGTGGGGAAGTTTAAAAATTGATTTAATGCCATATTTCTGTAATCTTTGTTTTTTCCAAGCCATCCATTTCTGTAGATATTTAAGGCTAGCCGTATAAATAGTTTGCCTAACAAGAAGATATTGGAAAGAAGTATGGCTTGTATAGCTAAGGAAAAATGTAAAAGGAAGCAAATGGCAGCAGTAAGCAAAACATCCAAAGAAAGAAGTTGGACAGAAGTGATACGTATGTAGACATAGTATGGAATGAGGTGGTACCTTATAGGTAGCCATCTGATTAATTACTTCTTGATCATATGATTTTGTATATAGTTGCCCCGATCAAGAAAAAAAAGGCTTATTTTCAATTATTTTAATGGTTGGTTGTCTATTCGATGCCCTACCAATAACAAGTAACAGCAGCACACTGTCATAGAATAATCACTGAAATAGCCTGCTTCAGTAACTAGCAAACATACAATCACTTTTTTGTGTTAGAGGCAAAGATGAATTTATTTCAGTTGGAGTTCAGGATGTAAATTCAGAGATAAGAACAATGCCCAATCTCACTACTGTTCTTGTTGATTTCAGCCGAGTGTAAGGAGACATTAAACGAAACTGAAGAGAACCAAAAGAAAGCAGAAGATAAGTACAAGTTATTGGAGAAGAAAATGAAAAATGCAAAAGCAGAGTGTGAAAAAGACCTAAAAAATGCCCAGAAGAAACTAGATGATGCCAAGAAAAAGGCAGATGCTTCAAGCAAAAATATGAAAGAAAAGCAGCAGGTAAAACTTAACCTTTGTTGACAATTCCCTCAGTGTCAAAAGTGGATGCAGTAATCAAAGTTTGAGCCTCCTGAAATTTTAATACTTGTCAGTTTTGGAACTGAATATATTACTTAATTTATTAGTCACTGGCAGTAGAAATTGCTGATGGTTTTTTGTGTGAGATTAACCCCTTACGGAAGAACAGACACTGTTCGTCTTCTACAGCATGTACTAAGTCAAACTGAATCTAACTTGAAGTGTAACTGTAATAAATTTGGAAACATCTCTCTAGGAGGTTGAAGCTTTAGTTCTGGAACTTGAAGAGCTAAAACAAGAACAAGCCTCCTATAAGCAGAAGATAGAGGCTGCAGAAAAAGCAGTCCAAGCCTACCAGGAGCAAGTTGATGCTATGGAAGCCGAGGCGTCTAAGACCAAGGTAAAAGCGAATACTGCGTTTCATTGTGTGTGTGTTGATGCTACTGAAGACACGATCCCCTAAAGCTCAAATTATAATGTCTGTTTTGTTTGGATTTTCTTACCAACACTCAATTATGTTTAGCCAAGGTAGTTATTTTTTGGCTTCGTTACCACAGGGGAATTTTTCTCCTCTTCCTTGCTGTGTCCTTCTCTTCTCACAACTGTCTTAGCTTCTTCTAAGGCTGGTGTTAATAAATGACTGTGTGATGCGCTTTTCAGGAATCTCTAGAGAAATCACAGGAGGAGCTGGCCAAGCGAAAGGAAGTAATTCTGTTACAGGATAAAGCAATCAAAGCCAAATCTACGGAGATCGCAAAATACAAAGAACAAAATAATGGATTGCAGCTTAAGGTTAAAGCGTTAGAACATGACATCAGCAAATATCAACAAGAGGTGGCTGATGCCTCTGCCAAGGTATTTCAGAACTTATTTTCCTTGCCTCTTTGTGACCAAGAGTGGCTTTTTCCCTTGCTATGTGCAGAGGAAATAGCCTTTTTGTTTCATAAGCACTGTCGTATTTGCAGCCTTGGATGTGAAAAAGTTTTACCCCAGGAGAAGGGGTGGAAATCATAACAAAGCTTATCGGTGTGGACTAATAGTAGATCACAGTGAGGAGAACATTCTAACTGAAGGGGCAAATTAGGTAGCTAGTTAAAGAAGTTAATCCTGAGATTTGGTGACTGTAGCTTAGTCCAGATATACAAAAATGTGTTCCAGGTAAATGTGATGAGTATATGCAGAAGTTTCCTTAAAATCTTGGTTCATCTGCAGTCTTGGAAATCACATGAAGCATTGTAAAGGTATGCACCTGTGCTGTGTTGGGGTAGAAAATTAATGTTCTGGAGTAATTTCAGGATGTTGGGGTTTTTTTGGGTGTGTTTTTGTAATTATTTTTCATTCACATTTGAGAAGGGGGGAAAAAAGTTTTGATACATCTTTTCGTTTACAGGTGAACAAAATGCTGAAAGAGCATGAGTGGATAGCTTCAGAGAAAAAACTTTTTGGTCAGCCAAACACAGTCTATGACTTCAAAACTAAAAATCCTAAGGAAGTGGCACAGCAGCTGCAGAAATTGCAGGAGTTAGAACAGAAGTTGGGAAAGAAAGTGAACATGAGAGCTATGACTATGCTGTCTGAGACAGAGGAGAGGGTAAATGTTCTGTGCTTTCACCTTTAAAGACTGGGTGGGTTGGGTATATGGTATTGTGTGTAACGTAGCTTTATATTTTCATATGCTCTGTTTCTGAATACACCAAAACTTAATCTTCATGAGATAGCAGGAAACCTTTTGTTAGATCTTTTATACTAACCGTAACACTTTCAACCTATTCACCTCTGCACTTGTTTCCTAAGTTATGCATAATCTTGATTTTGGGTGGTAAGAAGAATTTAATTCTTCCCTACTCCAGTCCGCCCTAAGTTGGCAGGAGCAGCTTTAGGAGAGCTTTGTGGTATCCGTTACCGTATTTGAGAATTATGTATATTTACCAAAGTTTGCAACATAAAGAGCTGTTCATCTTCAACTGTCCCAGCTTGAAGGTGTTCTAGGATTGTCTTGAATGCATCTGTGTCTTGTGGCTGTTCCAGGACCGTCTCAAAACTGCCCACCGACTGACCCTTCAGCTTTCCTAGTACTGTTTCATGATTGGAATTGGTCTCTTCTTCATAGCAGCCTCCAGAAACGTCCTTTCTTCTATGGAAAAGCAAATTACGCATGATTAACTTTTCGGATGCAACTTGCAGAGTAATGTTGGTCTTCCCCTTTGCTGCTTGTTGAAAACTGGAATTCTTTAATTGGCAAATAATATCCTAAAACATAAATCTTTCATACAGCTAAACACGAATGCTTTGCATCTCAATCTTGTGGTAATGGCTATTACATAGTTGCAAAAACGATAAACGGGGAAACTGTAAGATCAGCACAAAATGTATCTGAGCGCAAAGTTCACTGAAATCTATCTTTTCATCTCATTGCACCAGTACAACGACTTAATGAGGAAAAAAAGAATTGTAGAGAATGACAAGGTAAAAATTCTTGCAGCTATTGAAGAGCTGGACCAGAAGAAAACTGAAGCTTTACATGTCGCTTGGAAAAAGGTATGACACTGGAAGTCTGATCTTCACGTTTTAGCAGAGGACCTGATTTATCTTGGATTACTGTTGTGCTGATTTCTTTGGGGGGAAAAAAGGGTCTCTTTCCAGAACTAATTAATCTCACTTTTGAAAACAAGACGTGCATTCCCTGAGAATTGTAAAGATGCAGTTAACCCTGTAAAACTACCCTTCCCTTTTAGTGCCCGCAGAAGGTTACGGCAGGTTAAGCTACTGACATGCTGAAATCACTGTCCCTCGCATGGACGTTGGACAGGACAGTGACACAGCTCGCTTTTCTTCCTGTTCGCTGAAACCCGTATTTGACTAGAGTTAAAATCTTCTGGTTGTGTGTAGCCTCGTACGATGCGGGGCCGCGAACCTGGGCTACTCTTCCTGCTGCTGACAGGTCAGGCCTCAGTGGAAGAGAGCAGCAGCTCATTCGCACACCCGTTCCCTAAGCACCTGGCCGCCTTACAGTTCTCTCCTTCCCTTTCTACACGGAAAGCTCGTGACACATTCTTTTCTGCTGTACTGGGAGAGGTGTACTTTTTGGCCTTTGAGAAGGTCAGTTATCTCTAAGACCAAATTGCTCACAAGTGAAGAATCAGTTTTAATTATTACTGCCCATACTCAAGATACACTGACAAAATTAAACCTTTTCGTTGCACAGTCTTGCTTGGCAAAAATCAGCGACTTGCATTTGAAAGCATCCTGGGTGGCGGAGTGCGCGTGTTCTCTCTCAGATACATTCCTTCACCTGGGAAATGTTAAACCTATGCTTGCAGAGTTGCATCCCATCCAATACCTGGACGTTGCCAAATAACTCTGGAAAGAAAAGGAATGGGGAAGGTGCCCGTGTGCACCTCTTACAGGGTGCTTATACTTTTAAAAAGTCCTTTAACTGGGAGAAATCACAATTTACCGGTTGATAAATCTGAGGCAGGGAGTAACTGTTGCCCTGGCTGATGGCGTGGGGAGGCTTTCGCCTGACCCTTCTACAATCCTTAATATAAACCGTCTTATCTGTATCTACATTTCCTCTGGTGTTGCTTCCCTTTCCAGAACAGATGAAAAAGATTCCATGGGCTAGTGTTTGCTCGCTCTCCCGTACACGCTAACCTTGTGATGTGAGAATTCACGGGGTTAAGCTGGGCAAGGTGTCCAGAGCAGCGCAGCGCTACCTTGTTGTCTGTTCGTGCTCCTGATCCAAAGCATGCGCCTACCTCTTCTGCGCTCTGACTTCCAGGTGAACGAAGACTTTGGTTCCATTTTCTCGACCCTTCTACCAGGAGCCACAGCTAAGCTGGTAGCGTCGAAATCCCAGAATATCTTGGATGGCCTGGAGTTCAGAGTTGCCTTAGGAAAAATCTGGAAGGAAAACTTAACAGAACTTAGTGGAGGACAACGGTTGGTGAACTTTGCAGGCTTTCTGTTTGTTTTCCATTGCAGTTGTGTGTATAATTGATAATGTCTGGCTATAGGTATAGTTTGGGAAAGCAAGAAACAAAACTTTTCCCTAGTCGAGCCGGGGACTCTCTCTCCTCCAGCCTGATTTAATCTTGAAAGTGTTACCAAATCAGCTCAGCTCAAAGAGGAATCCGACCTAGAACAATGCGTTACTTGTCGTCTGATACAAACAAGGTTTTAACTCCACGGAGCAGCCGCAGGAAAAAGGAACGCATTGAGTGGTGAGCAAACCGCCGTGAAACCCTAGTTAGTCTTGAGGTGGACTAACTAGGAGGAAATGCTCCAGCCTTTGAGTTGTAACCTCAGAAATCCATATGGACAAGTTCTGCCCCGGTGTCACATTAGTGTCACCGTGACGGTGTTCTTCTGCAGTGATTACAGCTAGTGGGGTAGCGTATTGCTTCTCTGCGACTTCTAAGGAAAAACGTAACGGATGGGAAGGTAGAAGCAGGATTTAGGAAGTGGTGAGACAGAGATAGAGAACTTGTCTGAAGGGCAGAATGCTTTGAGAACCGCACACTGGGAAACAGCGCTGTGAAACTCAGAATGGAAAAGGGGTAAAGCAACAGCATGGGTTTTCTTAAATACCATCACCCAATTACCCCCGATCCTCTGATCAAAGAGTAAGTAACACTTGCCATTTCTGGCAGGAGGTTTCACATGCTGAAATCGGAACTCGTGGCAGCAGCGGTCGTTCTGTCTCCAGAACGTGTAGCATGGGTCTGCTGTTGAGAGAGCGCTTTGTTACTACCAAACCGTTGTTTCTGTAAGCCAAATCCTCTCCAGCAAGAAAGGCTAAACCAGAACTTCCTCCTTCTCTTTATATTAGGTCGTTGGTGGCCTTGTCCTTGATCTTTGCAGTGCTTCTCTTCAAACCTGCCCCAATTTACATCTTGGATGAAGTGGATGCAGCCCTTGATCTCTCTCATACCCAGAATATTGGGCAGATGCTCCGTAATCACTTCAGGTGGTCCCAGGTATGTATGTGATCTTGGAGGGGTCGCGGGCCCGTGCTGCCAGCGTTCTGCTTCTAATCAGCTTCAGCTGGAAGTTGCCGTGATGACACAGCACCTGTGAAACTCCGGAGCGTTGCCGTGGCTGCAGGGACTGAAAACGGGGTAGTATGGGATGTGGTCAGTGTCAGGCATGACCCGCATCCGGGGCTTTCTTTACTGTCTTTTTTTTTTTTTTTCCCTTGGGGTTCTTTAACCTGAGCTTTAAAAAATACCTTTCTGACCCTGTTGAAATAAGCCAGGCATCAGTGGAAAGAATTTCTGCATCACTGTGGCCTGTGTGTGGAAAAAAGCCTGTAGAGCTGAAGGAACCACCCACTCGGAGTGAAAAGCAGTGCCTGTCTCTGCTGGGAGATGGGACACAACCTCTCCCGGTGATGAGAGAGAGGAGGGGAACGTTTGTTGCCAGCACTGTAAGATAATTTGAGCGATATCTGGAGGCTGTGAGATCTCCTGCCCTCTTGGAGAATTTGTGGTGAGATTTTTTCCAGTGCCTGATGCAGCGTGCACGTCCCAGGCCAAGCGCTGGGGTACGGACATCGCTGGCTGCGGGTGTGCCGTAACCCACCCAGCACATTCTGTTGGGCTTCAGTTACACTTAAAGCAGGGATATTTTTTTTAGAGGGGTCGCTAAAGCAAAAAGGATCCTCCTTTTAGAAGCCTTTTGCGCAGTTTTTACGTGGACGGCGGCACTGACCTTGCGCTTTCTGGTTTGTTTCAGTTTATCGTGGTGTCCTTGAAGGATGGAATGTTCAACAACGCAAACGTCCTGTACATGACCAAGTTTGTGGATGGCATATCCACCGTCACCAGATACGACCAGTTTCAGAGGATGCTTGCCTCTGGCCTGGACAAGGCCAAGAGGGAGCAGAAGGATGGCAAGGGGACCCATAAGGTCACACGCCGTTCGTCACAGACCGCCTGTTCCCAGGCCCCAGGTGGGCCGAGAAGAGAAACTCCATTTTAAAAATACGTTTAAGAAAGAAGTAGTTATTTTTTAAATGTTACTTCATGTTTTAGCTTGTGGTGCAGATCCACACCTCATCAGGAGTGGAGTTGCACACAGGGGAGATGTTCTGAAGTGTAAACGCTGTCGCTGTCTCGTGTTGTTATGCCACCTTTTTGTGGATTTGACAGTTTCTGAAGTGCTGATGATTGCCTTGCTGTTTAGATAGCAAAGATTGTTACAGTTTACTGCAGGTGCTGGTTTTACGAATAAACATGTTCAACCATGAGGCCTGACTGTATGTGCTTTCCTTCCTCGCAGTTTTTCATTGAACAGTGTCTGCTTGGAAGCGAAACACTTCTCTCCATTTTTAACTTCCTGCTCTATTTCTTAAAGTTGTATCATTTAATTCTGTACTCTAAACGTTAGCGGCAGGACAACGTGGAAGTATTTTTAGCCGTGGGTGGAGATAATCAAGTTGAGACATCCTGACGTGGAGCTCTGCCACCTTCCGTGTCCCATGTCTTCCGTTGCCAACAAAAGCCAGTACCGTTGTCCTGCTGCTTTCACTGGCCGGAGGCAGGGACAGCTCTGTGCCAGGATGGCAGAGATGCCGGGAGTGCTCAGACCACCCGCCTGTGGGGCCACGGCAAGGCCCCTCCTCCCCACTCACTGCTTCTTCCTTTTGGGGCACAGTTTAGTAAAGTAAATTCAGTGGAGGCTGGATTAGAGGGGATGTGTCTATGCCCAAAATACTTCTGAAATGCTCTTAGATGGTGTTTAAATAAATTTTCAACCTCATGGCCTCACATTCCGTGTGTGTGTGTGTATGACATACGCGTGGCACACAACTGCCCGTGTGCATGTGCTGGTAATGTACGGCACACATAGCCGCGTCCCGTACCCCAGCGGGTGCAAGCGACCAGGCTCTTGGCGAAAAAACTGTGTTCAGTGTCCCTCCTGCCTGACACCAGGAGCACTCCGGATCTGGAACACAGCAGCAGCGGAGCATGACACCAGGAGCAGTGTGCACCCGAAACAAAGTGCAGAGGAACACCAGCAGCGCTCTTCTGGAACGCAGCGGAGTGGAACACCAGGAGCACACCCTGAGTGGAACACCATGGAGTGGAACAGTAGGAGCACACCAAGCCTGGAACACAGTGGAGCAGAACATCAGAACACCCTGAGCGGAACACCAAGGAGCGGAACAGCCGGCGCACACCCTGAGTGGAACACCATGGAGCGGAACAGCAGGAGCACACCAAGCCTGGAACACCAGAGAGCAGAACACCAGGAGCACACCCTGAGCAAACACCATGGAGCAGAACACCAGGAGCACGCCAACCCTGGAACACAGGGGAGCAGAACACCAGGAGCACACCCTGAGCGGAACAGCAGGAGCACACCAACCCTGGAACACAGACGAGTAGAACACAAGGAATTCAAGGGGACGTGTGGCTTCAATTTAAGTGTTAATTCCCAACTGGTTGAGAAAGACTCAACAATGAGAAGACTTTTTCCATCTCAGTGTAAAGAATGAGAGGGCTTTGTTTTCTCCCGGTTACTTGTGTGGCTCCTGCCAAAGGCAACTTGGCATGTTCTGTCTCTAACGACGAGGCGAGTGCCAAGTGGCACTCAGGGAGCGGCTCCTCCCTGCTCCTGCGGAAGCTGTGGAACACCCCTTCGGTGCGCGCCGGGACAGGGCAGACGCTGCCGGACATCGCCAGTCTCAAAGGGGGGAATTGGTACAGGGCATGCTGGCCCAAGAAGCGAGCCGACGTTAGTATAGCGTGCCGCGTACTTCATTAGCAGATAACGAACCGGACGCTGCTGCTGAGGTCCCTGTTCGCTGGACCTTGACCAGAGAGAACACGTGGGACTGACTGGGCGTAGGATGAATTACCTGACAGCCATCCCACGGGTCACCTTGGCAACAAAACTTGCATCTAGGGCGTCCTGAAGCGAACGGCCTTCATTACAGCAGCAAGAATCACACCCGTGGGTCAAACAGACCCCAGCCCACGTGAAGACCCTTGCCCTGAGCATGCGTATTAGCTACAACCAGCCCGCGTACCAGCGGCGCGGAACACCAGGAGCGCCGGGAAGCACTCTCGCTGGGAGGAAAGAAAACCACCGGCGTCACGCTGAAGAACAGGTCATGCAGCTTTTATTTAGTTTTACCTTTTTTTGGTAAGCAGGAGGGTTTTCTTTCAGTCAGACCGTTCACATACTCGGACAGCACAGAGTGCAGTGAATCTGATGGAGATCTCGCAACATTAGAAAACTTTTTTTTTTTTTCCCAATATACATCCATGTAAGCAACAGCTTGTAGGTCGGAACGCGAGTGCTGGAGCCACGTCTGCGCCCCGCACTCCCGGCGATACAAAGCATGGCAGCAGCACAAGGAACGCCCGCGCCGGGCAAAGTACAGTGTGTTTTACATAGTGCAATCACTTTCAGAGGAAAAACTCTAGGAAGGCCACATCTATTTGTTTTATTTTTAATCCCATCGAGTTAGAAATGCAAGGGGGGGGTGGGGGGTGGGGGGTAGAAATCGAACCTCTGACTGAATTAGCTTTTGTACAGGTAGGTTTTGTGTATAGGCACGTGCTTTAGAGAGGAGCTCTGAATCTGTAACCACGAGAAAGACATATTGCTTTGTGATTCAGAAAGTGTTAAACCGTCTCTAACCTTCCCAACGCTCTTG